GGACTTGTGAGAAAAATTATAAAAAACATAATTAAATGTAATCATCTAAGAGACACGGATGCATCTACAAGTAAAAGGAAAAACAAAATATATTTTTAAAACCAGTAAATGTAAATTATGTGCTAAAATATATAATTGTAACAAAGCTGGAAGAAATAAATATGAAGGTCAATTAAATTACAAGTTCTTTTTTAATTTAATTTTTGCATTTTCAGTGGAATTATTTATTTATTAGTCTGTTTTAGGGGTTTCCTTACTTTTGGGAGATGAGCCGATCCTTAGATGGATGGATAAGATCAGCTTTTCTACTTCCACAAAGGCCTGAAAATCAGCCACCATCTTCTTTTGCTTTGCTCTGAGCACTACCTTTCAGTTAAAACAAGTTTGTATTGTTTCAAGGGTGTTGTTCAAAGTATTTCAGTAAAATAACATTTGAACATTGATGTTTTATTGTGACTTTATAACATCTGACAATGTCAGCTGTTTAAAAAAATCGGTATCGGCCAAAATTGGAATCAGCAGGAAAGACCTTTTAAAAATCGGCAAGAAAAGTGGAATCGGTGCACCCCTGGTCTGGTTATATATTTTTGCTTTTATTTCTAACTATATCATCTATCGGTCCACCACAGTTGACATTTTAGACCTCTGAAAGATTGATTTAAAGCACTAAGGCCTTATTTTTGGACTAATGAATTCAATGTCTTTTAAAAACTTTTTAAAGATCTGTGTAATAAAGTTATTCAGACATCGTTTGCCCTGATTTTTCAGGGTCAACAAACAAATAGAAAAAAAATCCCTTTTGTCTTTTAAAGAAAAAGTTATAAAATATAAACTGGAATCAGCAGTTTTTAATTTTTTTTTTTAATGACATTGCATATTTTTCCTCCCAAAAGCCTTTCCTTGAGTTTGATGGAAAACATCATGGAGGTCAACAAGGTGCTGGTTTTACAGAGAACTGCAGCTGGCTTCAGTCAACACAAGTCTAGAACGGACCACCAAAGATGATTGGACACATGGACTGAGCAGACACCTTCGTCCCCATTCACATCCATTATTCACACTTTTACATGTGTCTTGAAAACAAAGATAACAACGGCCAAGGCTTAAAAACTGCTGACGCCCAAAGCCTGGAGGACCAATAAAATCATTCTAGATGTCTCTTTATTCTGAAACAATCTTTTATTTCCTTTAATCTCAGAAAACAAAAGACTGTATACTTCAGCGACTCAGATAATCAGTAAATCTTTAATTCATTCTGTTTGGACCTCGTCTCTTATTTACAAATTATTTACAAACTATAACAGAACATTCTGAGCTCTGACACAATCGATCAATAACCAAACACTGACGTTTTTTTTTTCTTTTTCTTCTTCTTACATTTACCAGCCATGTCTCACAGCCCAGCTTTTAGGAAATCAAATCAGAAAACACAACAAGACGACACCAGAGTTAAGTGATCTCAACAGTAAATGAGTCCTCCGTTAGAAACAAACTCGTTGACTGTGAGGTCTCAGGACCAGCCAGACTAATCTGCTTAAAAAAAAAAACAACCTGTTCCATTTGGAAAGTGGATCACGTGACCGCACAGGACAAACACGTTCAACCTCATCTGAGTGACGAAGGTTTGGGCCACGAGCTGAAGGTCCTGATAAATCTAAACCTTCGACCCGGGAGGTTTTCGCAGCCCTGAACGGTTCAGCCATGGCCAAAAACCTTCACCTGAACAGGGAGGTGGATCGCAGCAGCTCCAGGACCAGATGGAAGATTTTTCTACTGACATCAGAAGATGGTGGGGGGTTGGGTGGGGGGGGACTATAACAACAGGTAAGATGGGGGGAAATTTGACTAAAAACTGAGACAAGATGAGAAATCCTTCAAAAAAGGCAAAAATAAAGAAAAGCTACAAGAATAGAAAGAAAAAYGATAAAATGCAAGAAAGACCAACTAAAATTAAAATTACCAAATAAAAACACTAAAAACAAGAACATAAAAGTGGTTCCTCAATATCAATAATGGTATTAGGCTCAGTACCAGTATCTTAACAAGTACTTGTACAAAATGTCCTGATATTCGGGACAGATACTAATGCCCCTTTTCCACTAATGCCACTTAGTGTAGTGTCAGTACGGTCAGTCTTGGAACGGGTCATTCGGGTGCTTGTTCCAGTCCGGTTCCAGTGGGTGTGTTTTGGGTGGTGGGTGGAGGTTGTTTTGGGGTTTTTCAAAAAAAAAAAAAAAAAGTTAATGCGCAATATGAGAGATGGAAACACATTTGCCGAATAAGTTCTGAAATTTTAAAAATTTGCTAAAAATTAAAGTTGGATGGAAACACGACTAATGTCGCTGCTACAATTGAAAAAATGGYKCCTSGAGTTGTTGTTGTAAAGGCAGCTCAGATGCAACCAGTGACACCACCCCCTAGACAATCAGTGATTAACGGTGTTCTGACGTCGCATTTTGGTGTCGACTGGGACCACTTGGAACCACAACGAAGTAGGTACTGTACTAAAAGCTGGTTCCATGAATCTGGCCTAATGGAACCATAYCAAACTGTACCAACACTACAATAAGTGGCACTACAGGAAAAGGGGCATAAGTAAGTATCAATTCTGGCTCCATGGAGTAAAAACAACCATCATTTTTCAGCAACTAGGAGTATACGGTATTTCAAATTAAACATAAAACTTAAAAATCTAGTGCCCTTCAATGGTCTAAAGCACTGTCCAATATATATTTTTTATAAATACAGGAGTCAATGAATTAAATAGTGACATAAATTTTTGAAAAAAGGTTTGGCTGAATGTTTAGTAATGATGTCGGGGATCGTTTTTCACTACAAACCATTTATATTGTGAAAGAACAAT